GGAGGCTGCCCGGCAAACCATGAAGCTGGTAGCACTCGGGCTTTGGGCAGCCCCTATGCCTCCGGACCCTGCGCCCCCGGCCGGGCACTTCTCCTCCCCAGCTCCAGCTGCTCTGCTCCAGCGGCGCAGGGTCCGGAGGCACGGGGGCTGCCCGAAGCCAGTAGCGCTGGCTCGGGCAGCTTGGCTCTTAAACAGAGCCAAAGTCTGAGTCCGGGGAGGAGCAGAGCAGCCACAGGAGAGGAAGTGCCCGGCCGGTATTTTTCCCAGACATGTTCAGCTTTTTGGCAATTCCCCCCGGACGGGGGTTTGATTGCTGAAAAGCCGGACATGTCCGGGAAAAAACAGACGTATGGTAACCCTAGTGTTTGTTTATGGTTTACATCCTTTTGAATAATTTGTTTCAGTGTTTTCCCAAATCAATTCTGGGTTCCTTCTAATAAAACTTTTCTTTTGTTATACACAGACTCAGGGCTTGTGAGTGGGGAAGTATTGCCTCTTAGGCCTGGCCACTGTGGGTGGGGGAGGGATCGATCTAAATTACGCAACTTAGCTACATGAATAAGGTGGCTGAAGTCGACGTACTTAGATCGACTTACCGTGGTGTCTTCACCGCAGTGAGTCGACTGCTGCCGCTCCCCCGTCGACTCAGCCTGCGCCTCTTGCGGCGGTGGAGTACAGGAGTCGACGGGAGAGCGCGCAGGGGTCGATTTATCATGTCTAGACTAGACGCGATAAATCGACCCCCGCTGGATTGATCGCTGTCCACCGATCCGGCGGGTAGTGTAGACATACTCTTAGATGTGCCCGGGGGTAGTGTTTAGTTTTCCCAGATTACTGGGTAGGGGCTTGAACCAGGTCTGTTTCTCATTTTTAAGAGGAACCCCGAGATACTGAACCTGACCCCCATTGCTGCCAACACCATCTCACGGAAGAGTTACACAAGCCAAGACATTGAGCTGAAAACTGTGTCTTGTAACCCTGGTTTTTGCAGTGAAAGAAAGAGAGGGAAATAGAAAGCAAGAAAGAAAACAAGACAGAGTGTTCTGGAGAGTCACACCTGCCAAGTGCTGGCAGAGCAGAGCTCTCTCTCTTCCCCCTGTGTGTCTGTATATGTGTCTGGCTGGTGAGTCCTATGATCACATGCACCTCGGGCTCCTGCCTCCCTCCCTCCTCAACCCTCTCTCTCACTGCACTCCTTGCAACTTTTGCAAACTAGTCTAATGCAGAAGCATTTATCACAGACTGGACTCTTTATCCCTACACAAGTCCTGGAATTCACCAGTGACCACAGTTTGCTGTTTTTTCCTATCTGCTGAATAAGGATCTGGGACTCAGAGTGGAGTTTTTGTGCAGCTTTAAAAAAATGATTTCTCTTAGCAAGAAAGGCTCCTGTTCGTCTCAGCTCTGTCTTGCTCTCTGTGCCTTTGGGCTAGCACTGCTTGGGGATTTATCCCAGGCTTTGCCTGTGGAGGATCAGGATTATTACCTGCAGGAGATTATAAACAGGGATCATTATTATTCCTATCCAGGTCCCGATGAGGAATTTTCCCTTTTCACAGAGCAACCTGGACAGGAAGAAACAGCCCCCGTTGCAGAGGCAGAGGAGCCCCCAAGGTTCAGACCGGGCAAGAAAGAGTTAAAACAGAAGAAAGGCAACAAAAAAGAAAAATCCATTCTCGAGATTCCACCAGGTAACTTTCCACCTCTTCTTCCTAACTTTCAGAGCTCTGCTGAGTCTCACACTGACTCTGACTTCTAACATAAATTAATAGCCTAATACTGATAGTAATAATAATAAATGTGCTGGTGATGATGACACATACTAACTTTTAACACCAAGCTTTTCAGCTCTTTGGAAATGTCACATGCACTTTTACCCTTTCCCTCTCACCTGTCACGTTAAGAGCTTTCAAAAACACTGCATTTCATTAATCAAATGAGATTCCAGCTGGTGCATGAACTTCCCTTCTTATCATATTTCACATTTGGCTTGTTTTTGAAACTAAAGTTTTGCAATCAAATGAAGAGAGACTCACTCCATGGTAAAATCTGATTGTCTGTCTTATGGTGATTTCATATTTTACCTCCGGTCATTTTAACTCTAAATGTTCTTCACCTTTGAACAGGTGAATCACTGTCAGATTTCACTTTAAAGCTCTCCCATGAAAGAAATGTAAACAGGGATTTTCATTCAGAGAGATCAGTTCCTAGGGGGATTAATTTTAATAATTAGGAGGTACTAATAAATAATATCATAAATAAATGAAAGGTTAGCCGTATCATCCATCACTTCAGTTATTATATGTAATTTATTTGGCTGGAAGAAGACAAGCTATTGGAAACCTACACATTACTATAATTCCCCAAACGGTGGTCAGTAAGCACAGTAGAGCAGTTTCTATTTCGACACAGTTACACTAAGGTGGCTGGGCAGTTTATTCTATAGGCATTCTCTGATTGCACTGGTCTTATTTCATTTCTTTGGTGGAAATTCGCAATCTAAATTATTTCACGGAGTAAGCAACAATCTTATAAAATTAAGGGCCAAATCCCACAGCCCTTGCTCAGGCAAAACTCCCATTGGCTTCAGTAGGAATTTTGTATCCTTAAATACTATGGGATATGGCACAACATTTGCAAATTAAAGACACCCACCTCACAGCAAATTGGAGAGGTAAGGTTCTCATAGTGGCATTAACTCTTCCCAATTGCATATAGGTGATATTAAATTAAGGGTTGCAGTTTAAGTGTAAAACTGGTAAAAATCAGTTACTTTCTGATCAAGAAAAAAATTGAAAACAGCTTTTTATACATTATGCCCCAAATTTACCATTTCTGCAGTGTTGAAAATTGTTAGAGGGCCAGCAGATCTTAGCTGCAGGTACAGCCCAGGCCAGAGGACCCTAGTAGCAGAGAGTCTGCCTGGGTGAAGGTAGCAGTGGTACAAGAAACCTATAACCTGGTGCTCCACTGGGGATCAGCAGCTAGACAGAAGGTTCAAAAGCAGATGGCACTGGCAGGGTAACTCTGGGATGTGCTGATTCAGCTTATTACCTGGTAGTGCATGCACTGCTTTTCATAGAATCATAGAATATCAGGGTTGGAAGGAACCTCAGAAGGTCATCTAGTCCAACCCCCTGCTCAAAGCAGGACCAATTCCCAACTAAATCATCCCAGCCAAGGTTTTGTCAAGCCTGACCTTAAAAACCTCTAAGGAAGAAGATTACACCACCTCCCTAGGTAACCCATTCCAGTGCTTCACCACCCTCCTAGTGAAAAAGTTTTTCCTCATATCCAACCTAAACCTCCCCAACTGCAACCTGAGACCATTACTCCTCATTCTGTCATCAGGTACCACTGAGAACAGTCTAGATCCATCCTCTTTGGAACCCCCTTTCAGGTAGTTGAAAGCAGCTATCAAATCCCCCTCCCATTTTGTGTGTGGGGGGGGAGGCAGGAGGGTTCCCCCTGAGGTGCAATGACCCTATTTGTGTACAGGGTTCAGTTCACAGCCCTCTAGACTCCAGCAGGTATGTAAGAAGCCCCACATATGTACAGCCATATTATCCCCTTTGATCCAAATTGGTGTCTAGAAACTTTGTATGCTTGCACTTGTCGAATTTACTGAAAAGTATTCCCTTGGTGAAGTTTGGTCCACTGAGGAAGTGATAGGTAGCTCATAACACTAAATCAGTTGATTCTCCAAGATCCAGAGCTCAGGTGATCTACCAAGTGCTGAACCATCTCCATGGAGGCTCTGTAGCTCTATACTGCCTTCAAGCTCCCTACTGGCTTTACCCCAACTTTCCTAGCAGCGTAACTGCAAACATACACCAGAAAGCCCAGTCTCACTCAGGAGGGATGGGATAGCTCAATGGTTTGAGCATTGGCCTGCTAAACTCAGGGTTGTGAGTTCAATCATTGAGGGGGACACGTAGGGATCTGGGGCAAAATCAGTAATTGGTCCTGCTAGTGAAGGCAGGGGACTGGACTCATGACCTGTCAGGGTCCCTTCCAGTTCTAGGAGATAGGTATATATCTCCATATATTATTATTATTATTAGCTCTGTGGCAGAGGCAGGGATAGAATTTGATTCTCTTCTCTTCCTGCAATCTCCTTCCTCATTCACACACTTTCCAACTTCTGCAACAAATGAGGCCAGAGTCCTACAGACAGCAATCCCCTTTACACCACTCTGATTCATTCCCAGGACAGGTCCCTCCTGTGGGGTTAATAAGGTAGGGGTCCTGTGGAAAAAAACGACTATGTTATTATGTAATTAAAGACTCCCATAATGCATATGCACAAGGGGAGCTGAATTAATGGCTGTAACAGGGTAGCTTGTCCCTTTAAGGGCCAGAGGCCTGGGCCCATCCAATCCCAGTTACTAAGGAGGCACATCTGAATGGGGATTAGCTGATAAAGAGTACAAGGAAGGAGGGCAGAGGGTCTGAAGAAGTTGAAGGAACTGCAGAGAAAGGAAGGAATGGCAGAGTCTGCTGGAGACAGGAGGCCTGGCAGTAGCCTTAGGGGCAGAGACTAAGGTCCGAAGGGTAACTGCTTAATGTTTGCATTTTTGTTTGTTGTTTTGGAAAATAAATAAAGCCCTGGGGAAGTGAATTTAATTGGGGAGCCCTGGAGAGGGATGAGATTGATGGAAGGGGGCCTGCAGAGTGACCTCATGCCACAAGGGGGTGATTGGGAAGCAGCATACCCTGTGATGCTGGCTTTCCCAACTTTTGAGCATGTGGTGTCCCAACTTTTAATGTTCTTTTAACATCGTTTTTCTTTGTAATTTCCTAGGTTTTAAAAAAAAAGCAAACTGTAAAAACAGAAATTCCATGCTATGGCATTGCATTGACACCCACATGATTTATCAGGTGGGCTGGAGCCTTTAGATCTACCACAGACTTCTGCCACTTGAACTAAGGGAGTAACTGGCAGCAGTAGTAGGTGGTCATCCTCTATGTGGACCAGTATTAGAGGGGGATATGAGACACATTTCACAAACGTATGTTGATAGCAGAGGAATGGTGAGACTTAGAAATGTTGGTGCCCTTGTCCCCTCCACGCTGTCCTTGTGCCATTCTTGTTCCTCCCTCCAGTTTCTCATCCTAGTGTCCACCCCCTCATCCCTGGCTCCTCACAGTACCAGTCCCCTCACCTACCCAGTCTCAGTCTCCTCATTCCAGTTTCTCTCTCCTAGGCTCCGTGACTAAGTCCCAGTCTCTCTGCCCCCACAAGCTCCCAGTCTCAGTATCCCCATGCTGGTCCCAGTCGTTCCCAATCTCCTCTCCTTCCAGGCATCCTCTTCCAGTCTCCATCTCTCATTCTTTCCTCCCTGGTTCCCAGTCATCCCCCACCGTATTCCTTGTCCCAACCCTACCCACTTCCTCCCATATCCAGCTCCAGTTTCTTCTGCATTTCAGTCAGATGACTTCCTCCTCCTTGCTACCTGGGCACCAGCATGGTGGGCAAGGAGAGCATGAGGGACAATTTCCTTGTTCTTGGTTCTGATGATTGGTGCCACACAGCCTGAAGCAATTACAGGGAAAGTCCTGCTGAGCCCTTTCAGCCCTGGACTGGAGCATGTTCAGTGCAGAGAAATTGAGCTGCCAACCTCTAAGAAGTCTCAGCTGAGCATGTGTGAATTGAAATTTTTCAAAGACTTATAGCGTGGCCATATCTGGGCATTTTTTCAGGGTGATAGCAAAGGGCATATTCCCGACACCCCACATGACCACCTGACAAATTTCAAGTCCCTGCTCCAGAGCATGGAGGCGCTAGAACATCTTAAATACATTGTCATAAGATTTTATTTTTTTTTTAACATGGGAAAAACCACATTTTCCTCTTACTCATGCTCTGGAATGTCTGAAACATTTTTACTGAAACTACCCAAAATAATTCAGCCTAAGGCAGACACCCAACATGTTGAAGCTCAGCCTGAACGCCTAAGGACTGGCAAAGTTATAAGCAACTGAAAAAAGGCCTCTTATACTGGGAAGTATTGAAGAACCTTAACTATAGATGGCACTAGCAGCTCTGTCTATAATCTACACAAAATAACTATCCGAGGCACTATAGAGTGATCCAGCAATTATGTAGGTTAAATCTAAAACACCATCTAGTGCAGTGTTACGTGGATTAGTACCATTAAAATCAATTAAAGCTGTTGGTTTTCAGCACCTCTGAAAACCAAGTCACTTACATAAGTGCCAAAATATAAATGTAGGTGCCTAGAATTGCACACCCAATTTTGAAAAATTGGCCTTATAAAGGTACAGATCATGCTGAGCTTATGATTGATTGGTGCTTAACTAATAATTATGAATCTAACTGTAAATATGTTTGGAGGTGTAAGTATTTATTTATATATATATTTACATATATGAACAAACACTTATACATTGAATAAAGATTAACTCAACGGACATACAGTAAATATAAAATATTCCTTGTTTGTGAAGCTCAGTGGGAGCAGGGGCATGTTGGATTAATTATATGTTGTAGCAAACAATAGACGGGATCTTGGCTGGAATGAAGAAAGGCAGAGGAATGGGAATGTGTGATCTGCCCTTTGGCTGAGCAGCTGTTAGTGATCAGTGCTAACTTTGAATTAAAGTTGGACTAAAATCAAAACAGTGTAAAGGCTACAGCAAATTGCATATGACATGTACTTGATTAATT